TTTCCTCTTTGAAGGATGCTCTCCTTTGTTCCCTAGACTTGTTGTAGCTTGCTTATCCTGACGTGCATGAGCTGCAACTCTACCGTTGCTAAATAACCCCCCCCCCCTTTTTTTTCCCTCTGGTGAAATGACTGAGGGTTTTTTGTTTGTTTGCTGTTTTTTTGATGGTTTTATTTTTAAGGTTAACAATGGCTATAGACAGGTGAGTGAGACAAAGAATGGGACTGCATAAACTTTTCCATTTCTAGTTAATAATCCCAGAAGAAAATATTGGCCCAAGTAAAACGGAGACACATACAAGGATTGCAGTATTATATAATAGGAAAAAAAATGGAAACAACCTATGTCTATCAGTGGAAGAATGATTAGGATATATTGCTGAATTAAAAATAAATCTAGGGGCGCCTGGGTGGCTCAGTCGGTTAAGTGTCTGCCTTCGGCTTGGGTGGTGATCTCAGGGTCCTGGGATCGAGCTCTGCATGGGGCTCTCCACTCAGCGTGGAGTCTGCTTCTCCCTCTCACTCTCCCTCTGTGCTCTCACTCTCTTTTTCAAATAAATAAATAAAATCTTAAAATAAATCTAGTTGTAGGATTAGAGAGTGTGACTATTTTTAGCACACAAACAAACCTATACATCTGTGTGCTTATACATGTGGGTATGTGCATCAAGAAAGGATTTGTAAGGACATACATGGAACTCCTAACAGATTAGTTTTGTGACAGGCATGGGACACTGGGGGAAGGGTAAATCTTTTACTTTGTCTTTTATATAACCTGTACTGTATTGTTTGAGGGTTAAAAACTTTCCTAAATGAAGAAAATGCAAAAAGGCTATTCTTTACAACATACTGTACTGGAGAAGGGTTTTAAGGTGGTTCACAAGATGGTGGAAGAGTCAACTGGCTGGATCCTGACAGCTCAGCAACCAGGGGAGGAACCAAAAACTGGCCTATAAAGCCTGTGGCAGCTTAGAAGAAAGAACTTGAGTAGTGTTGCCATTCTCTTGCTCTCACAGGACCTGCTGCTTTTCCTCATCATACATTTAGTTGCTGAACTTATTTCCATATTTTTACTTGCTTGCAAAAAATGTTAATCCACTGAGTTTCCTGTCCCTTGGACATAACATCTTCTGCCTCTCCTCATTGCTTCTCATCTGTAAACTTTTGGCCTCAACGCCGCCCAAACAGCTAACTAAAATGATAAATCCTTTTGTTTTGTGAAACTGAATCACTTCAATCTAGTGATGAGGGTAGCTACCTCATGCTTAGGATCAGACTAATTCTTCAATTAATTAAACATGGAAAAGAATTATAGTCTCTAATGCAACGTACTTTCCTCTTTCTAATTATAAGGTGTAGGAGGGAAAAATAATAGAAGGCGTAAAAATAATATAAATACTAAGCAGTGTGCACCCAAGCCCCACGAAGTCAGGTTTTTCTTAAGTCTTGTGAAAAGATGGCCCAAATGATTAAGTCATAGTCAAGTTCACACTATTATTACAAATTGTCGACCCCGAGGATTTTCATGGACAAATGGTGGACTCTCCCTCCTAGAAGCTGCAGTGCCCCTGGACATCTCTCTGGAATTCTTCGGCCTCCTTTCTTTCTGGGAAAGAAGTTGGGGGTGGTGGTTGGCAGAAGTACCACCTGGTCTTTGCAGGAACAGATCCACTACCAGCCCCTGGCAATCTCTGCAAGGAGAAATGCTTTTCAATTTTTTTTTTCTTTTAGAGAATGCCATCAAATGAAGAACAGTTAAATATTTTGCTATTACAAGCCTTTGTAGGAAGGAATTAGGGTGGTGGCTTCTAATCTGTTAGAGAACAAGGTGAGAAGAGATGAGGAAGGGCACCACCCAAACCAGCATATTGCCCACACCCACTGGGCAGCTACTGGAGCATCTCATCATTGGCAAACCCCGAAGGGTGACCATGTCAAGCCCTGCTTTTAAAATAAAGATAGAAAAGAATTCATCCTGTGGATGGAAAACAGATGCCGCACTTCATCCGTTAGAGGATACTTTGTCCTTTCAATTTCCAACCCGGCAAAGAGCAACAAAATCACTTTTATGAAAATGTTCTCTGCTCTGGGGCTGCAGAGAAATGACATATCCTCTGCCGGAGCTGCAGACAGGTTACCCAAGGCGGGGCGGGGGGTTGGGGGGGAGGATGCGGAATGAAGTTCTGGCAAGTGTCCAAAGCATTAAAGCATTTGAAATAACTCTAGTTTGGCTCTGTAAGCCATGGAAATTGGTGAGATGGGACCAAAAGATGCCAGCGCTCTTTGAATCCAAGGAAGAAACATCTAGAAACAGTCAGTCTCTTAGCCCCATTTTCCTGCATTTAGGGAAGATGCAGGCAGAAAACTCCAGTGGGTCTTACTCAAAACTGTTTCTGGGTTTTAACCTGAAACTGATGCCTTTAATGTCCAAGTTGTGGTGGCAACTGGCCTGGCGCATGGCCTCTGGGCCTGAAGAGGACTTATAAAGAGATGCTCTTAAAAAGATTTCTGGATATCAACAAACTCTTAAAAAAATTGGGACATGTTGATGAGTTGACTGTACACACGTGAGGAACGGAAGGATTCAGATTTTCTTTGAAACACAGGCTTCGGTATGAAGAGGGAAGATCCAGTTGTCAAAACAGGCTTGAGGTTTTATGAACCCAGAAATTCTGGAGAGCAGTTTGAGATGTTTTCCAAACCCTAAATACTGTAGGGTTAAGCCTTCCCTCTAACCAATTAGATAACTGACATTTCATTCTGTGGATTTCTCGATTGTTTCTTCTTTTTTAAAGCAAACAAAATAATTAGCCTTGTTCCAGGATAATTTTGCTAATATTTCCATGATTAAATAAATATTTCAACTCTGAATTAAAAACTGTCCTGCTATCTCTGGGTACAGTAGGCAGTCAGCTGTTTTAATAACCCCTGAGGGTGGTCACGTTAAGGACTCAATTTATGACCTTATGGATTAACACAGGGAAACCTACTCCATAATGCAACAGACAATTCTATTTATAATGTTTAATTAATCCCCTCCAGTCACTAACAGAACCCACTTGTGGCTTTCGTTTCAACCCCACCCAAATGCAAGTCTCCTGAGATGAGACGTGTTAATATGTGAATGCTGACAGAATTTGCTGGCATGATGGTTGAGTATTAAATAGCTGACAGTCTGGATAAATTAGCTCCCGATAGCTCACTAATCAAATGTAAGAAGAAAATGTCGAGTTTGGCGGCACTGATGAAACCCTTCATCACAACCCTGAGCTGGAGAGAGGGAGAGAGAGAGGAAAATGTCCAAGTCTGACACTGCCTGAAAACACTAGCTCTGAATTTCAGGACGTCTTGGCAGAGCAGACAACCAAGAGAAAGTATCAGAACTGTATCGAAGGATGGCTGTGGGAAGCCAACCTGGTGGCTCCATTTGTCTTCTGTCACTGTACCCTCAGGCTACCTTCTCTTTGATACAGAAAACCCAAAGTGGTAACCAACTCTAGGCTGCCTTACCTAAGGTAGCACAAACAGAGTGGAGTTACCTGAAAAACTCCAAGTACCTCAGAAAACTACAGGGTGTGGGCAGAGTAATTTTTGCAGACCTAGAAGACTCTCCCGGGAAATAGGCCCCGGGAAGGAGGCAGGAGGCTCATACACTACATGGACCATAGGACTTCTGCCTTGTGGGCTGGCATCTTGGAATATATGCATGGAAGACTTTATCAGGTTTTAGGACTGTTCCGGCTACTTCCATATGTCCTCCTGACTCAGGAAAATCGATTTCGCTCTTTTTTGTCCACCACATTCGAGAATCCACATAATGTGATACTTCTGGCTCTGCTTTGTGTCTTCAGGCAAATTCCTTAACCTCAGTGCCTTAGTCCTCTCGTCCGCAAAGTGGAAATCCTAACTGCCCACTTCTAGGGTTGTTGTGAAGATCACACAGAGTTAGTACAGAGGATGGCTTGACACGGTGCCTGGTATACAGTAGGCGCTCCGTAGCCTTGGCTGTTCTCATCACAGCGTCACTCTGCTGTCTGTCTCCTCTGCCACATCAGGCTGTCATGGTTTCTCCTGGCTAGCTGCCTGACTCACTTCCCTATTCCTGGCCCATATCTCTTCTGGTACATCGTACACAGTCTTGCGACCCAAATCTTTCACATCTACCTCTGATCCTGTCCTGCCTTATTCAGTGTTCTGCAGAGCTCATCAAACAATGTCGAAACTCCTTAATTTTGAATTTAAGGCTTGGTGGGCCCCTGCCTCCTGCCCTCATTTCTCTCTCTGCTCTTATATTTCACTGTGCCTTCTCATGAACCCTCACCTCCGCTGGAGCCACGGTTCCCTCACTCTCTTCTGCCTGTCCGAGTGTGTTCTTGCTTCATAGGTATAAACTGTGCCCACCGTTCTCTCCACTTGGACGTTACTTCTCCCCAGCATCTTCTGGTCCAAATCCTAGCCATCCTTGAAAGCCAAGTGCCACCTGCACCTTGGGGCTTTTCTGATCCTATCATGTTACGTCACTCTTTCTTTTCTGACCTCCGATGTCCCTTATCGGTTTTTTTTTTTTAAATCCTTAACCCTAGTTACCTGCTATTACAGGTATCAATTCATATGCCCCGCTACTTAGTATGTGTGATATCCCACTCTCCGAGCTCCTTGGATCGAGGCTGATTCTTCCATGTGCCCTACTTAGTCCTGTCCTCAACCCTATACTATGCACAAAACAGGCCCTTTCCAACAAGAAGTTGGGAGTTAATAATATTTTGGAGGGGCTTGGAATAATGACAGCCTGGTCCTGTGGTCCATCCTTTCTGTGACTTATTCTCATTAACTTTTGCTCTGTACATGAGTGCCTATGGAAATATTTCAACTCAAAAAGTACATGGGATAGAAAAAATCCTATCAGCAGGAAAAACAAACATACAAAACGCACAGCTGATCCCCAAACAATGGATTGTTTTTTGAGAAAAAGCAGTGAAACAAAAACCTGGAGTCCGGTACCTTTGTATCTGGTTACTGCCGCGGCGTTGACACTAAGAGGCTCCTGAAAGCTGACGGTGAGCGTGGTGCTGCCGGTCACCACGAGACAGGCGCCGGCTGGCACCTCGGGGGCTCCTGGGATGAAGGAAAAACGTAAGGATCTTAACATCACAAATCCTTTTTAGACAATGTTCCTGCTTCTTCAAAGGATACCCTGAAACACACACTATGGAAACATTTGTTTGTAGAGCCTAATAGCTTTTGCTTTTGAACATTTTCATCAGAAGTCTCAATGGTCTTCATTTGTTGCCATCGTGGTCTTATTTGAGCATCAGAACATCTTCTGAAGGGGTAAATAATACCAGTTAAGCCTTCCCAAAGTATCCTGGAAACACAACAGGAGATTGGCCTGGACCAGTGGAGAGCAGGCCAGAAAGTGCCATAGCAGGAAACGGCTGTTGACAGAGGCTGTTACATTTCATAAAGTACTTCCATGGAAATCATTTCACTGGAGCCTTTTTGCAACCCTGTGGGGTAGAAAAGGCAAGTAGAGCATGTGCCCATTTAGGATGAGGAACCTGCAGTCCAAAGAGGCCACACTACTTGTTCAAGGACACAGCAAAGACACAGCTAGGACAAAGGCCCGTGGCTTCGGATGCTGACTCCCGGGGCTCTTCCCGGGGTAGGATGCCGACCTGCCTTCTCTCACGCTGCCTCCTGTTAGATCAAGGAACGTTTTCTGAGAAAGAATTCACGGACCAATGCCATGCCCATTAACCTCGGGTTTTAAAGGACTCCTGATAGTTCTAGGTGTTCCTTAACACCCAGAAGGTGTTTTGTGATTTAGAAAATTACCCCCCAAATGGCAGTAAGTCTAAAACTATGACTGCTTCTAGTAGTAATCTGTCCTAAATTAGGCACAATTGCAAATGCATTTATTAAAACAATTGCTGAATGTGTCTTTTTTTTTAAATAAAAAAACCCATGTATCAGCATTGCTGAAGAGACTGTTAATTTTGAAAGCAAACTTTCATTAATGTTGCTTAAGCTGTTTGCTTTAAGAGAAAGGATTAGGCTTAGATTAAATCCTTAGTATACAGAACTGCTTCAGAGAACAAGATTTTCACTGCCTTTGGTCTTTATCTATAGCACAAAGCAGAGGCAGATATTTCCAAACGCATGAACTGATCTTTCCCTTATATTTAAATTCTCAAGTCCAATTTTTTAAATTGTTGTTTAAATAAGATCTGCTTTTGGAACAAGATTTTAATATTTCCCAAGTTTGAAATTGATACTTTTTTATATTAGGGACCTTCCAGTGCTAATGAGCATTATCCAGAAGCAAGGCTTTTCTTAAAACTAACAAAAAGAATCGATGAAGAGAATGGAAGTGCAGACAAAGCATAATTCAGGGGCGGACTGACTATCCTCTGTGGCCTGTATTAACCAAAGGTTGGTTTATATAAGCTCTCTATAAAAAAATGCAGTAGAGTTGAAAACAACTTAAACTTGTGTTGGAGGCAGAAACTGGACAAATAGGCAAACAAATATTTTCCACCTCCCCATCCCAAAATATAGCCACTTAGGGTATCAGACCATCCAGGTTATTAGGCATTAGGGCGTATTGGGTGGAAAGTGCTAGATGAGTGTGACACTGTGGAGAGAGGCCAGCAGCACTGAAGCCTCATGGCTGTGGTCAGAGAACCTATCGGGAGCCAGAAAATCAAGCAAGACAAAAGATCCTTTTACAGCTGCCCAGAGCCCTCACTCCAAATAGGCTGACAACGGCCATCCATGACCCTGGAGCAGAGTTGAAAAAAAAAAATCAGTAAAAGAAGGCCTGGCTGTCTCCAACCAACCTGGCTTCTAGTTAAGTGCAGAAGCCCTCTGCTTATACTCACTGGCGTGCTCGAAGCCCGTCCTCATGCGTCTGTAGAGCTGACACCTCCACTCCCAAGCTTTCAGCTGTTTCTCTTTCTCTGTGTTGTCCAGACTGGGACCTTCGTTCTCCACCTGGGCGGACAGTTCACTCACCCTCTGCTGGGCTTCCTGCACCAGTGTGGCGAGGTGCACTGCTCGGCTTTCCAGGCTGACAACTGCAGGGAAAGACATGGGTGACTCCTTTCTCTTTCTGGGGAAACACTGCTTCGTGGGCATGGGAGTTAAGAGTTGACTCTGGGGTTTAAAAAATGCCCCGGGGTAAGTGGGATCTATGTTCCTTATTAACTGACTTATCCTGACAAGGTCTAAGTGGTGACATTGACAACTAGCTTAAATGGTAAGTCCATCAATTTAAGATACTTTCATTGCTCTGGGGCCCTCTTGTCATATGCACCCCAAATAGCTGCCTAGCACAGTTCATTAGAATTCCACCATCAAGTACCCATGAGGACCACTCCTCACCCAGATTGCACACAGTTGTTTCCATGATCTTTACAAAGACAAACACTTAGGGCCAAAAGCTCTGTAGGGCTAGGAAGGTCGTAGGAAAAGGCATCCACGAGGCAAGCTGCATTCCGTTGAAGTTGTTTGGGCTTTTTTTTTGGTAGAATCTGATTCAAATGTTCTGCTCTTATCATGTCTGCCCAGCTCACAGACATTTCTGTACAAACGTCTTAGTGGCGTAATTCTGTTGTTATTAACCAATTTATTTATTGCTGACGAAGTGTCCCACTGCCACTGCCACAGTTACGCTAGTGAGTTCTGATGACTGGGTGTGATCAGACTATGATCTATCAATTCCATCTCTGATCGTGATCTCAAGGAAGGAATGAATGGTCTCTGGAGATGCCCATTCTCAACAACAGCAAGTTCAACTACTCCTCTTGCTGACAGATTAGATAGTTTGATATTTCTGTTTTACTCCATACTTGGCATCTCCACGAAATTCACATCGTGCTGGTTCACCTGACCACACCCTTGTGCGAGTGAACGTTCGTGACAGTGACAGAATGCTTCACAGTCGTGTGTCAGGTTGGGAAGCTGCTTCTTGGGGTTTCCTCATGGCTCCTATATATTGGAGGGCTGCCTCAACGGTCCCTCGGTCACTTGGGAGGAGCCCTCCCTGGTTAGTGGTAAGGGAGCAACAGCCTCAGTACGGGTGTGTGGAAGGGAACCACGCAAAGAACAGCACAGACCAGAATCAAGCTCTGCTGCTCTGTCACCAAGGTGTGGTTGACACTCTGTGTGACCAAACCAGTATTCCCCCCGGGGGGGTGGGAAAGAAATCCAAACATTTCATTCTTCTAATTAAGGGGGGAAAATATTACGAAGATAAGTGAAAATTTGTTAGGTGCATTCTGAAATGGAAATTAGGTGGTTATATATTCATATTCTCTGTGTTCATAGGCATGTTTTCATTAATTACAGGAAATGAATACTAATTTATTATTGCCCCTGCTCACCATCAGTCTCAATTTATTTACAGATGAGGTCAATGAAAAATTAGTCGAGTCTTTTTTCTTTCTTTTTCTTTCTTTTTTTCTTTCTTTTTCAAGTTGCTGTTTAGAACACTCAGGACTGTGTTTTGCTACAGATTTCTCATGGTTAATGAATGTTGCTGTAGCAGTCAATCATGTACTCTGAATACCGTCACACTTTTTTTAAAGCCTCAGTCATGAGCCATGACAGAAAAATAAACAAATAAATATAAAGCTAAAAAACTCTTTCACTGAGCAGCTACACTATGCAGAATCCCCCGGGAAGGCTAAAGGAGGCCAGAATAAATGATAATATAAGTGCTGTGGACGTAGGGAAGCAATGATGGCGTATGAACACGGAGGCTCTGGAGAAAAAAAATACACATACACACACGCGGGCGCATACTCCAGTGGAAAAATTGGCAATATTAGTAGCCTCAAGGTGCAATTTCCTGGAGCAGTGAGATTGACAAGTCAGTACTAAATGCTGTTAATTTAACTAACTTCAGATTAATGGTAGAGTCTGCTATGACTGAAGGCCTCAAACACAGTCTCATTATAGCCTTGCTGGGAAGGTCCTAAATATAGGCATTGACAGTTGAAAACAAATTCGTATACATTTGTGTATTTTTAGACATAGGTTAGGCGTCAGGGTTTGTGTCACAGTTCTCAGGTTGATTAATTGACCCAGTAACTGCACCCTCTACCCACGGCCCCCCTCCTTCTCCCACTCCAAATTATAGAGAAAATGGGGGAATTGTCCTTGCTAAGTCATTCAGTGAGCTTTTTATTGTAAGTCTGATGTTTGAATTGCATGCATGCGTCAACACTTGGGTGATAGACACATGATTTATAAAAATAAATTTTTCTAATACTATGAAATCCCCCCTATTAATTTTTATATCCACAACAGTTATTACTGGTGTGAATTCCAGGTGGCATTTCAGATGGACAGCTTCTCCTGAGCTATGCTTGGCTCCCCCTGAAATTTTTCCTGCTTTCCTTAGCACAACGTGCTTTGTTTCTACACTTTCCCTATCCTCCGAGGCTGTGGCCTTGACGCTGTTTGCGTTGTAGTGGTGAAGGGATTCTATATCTTGAAGGTAAAGCATGTTGCCTCTTCAGAGGCTAAGGGGAAACCTATTCCATTTTATAGCCAGGTGAATCTTCTAAGATCATCTCGATCCCTGTGCTTCTCAAACTGGGACGCCTAAACACCAACATAATATGCTGGTGGTGGTTGGGGGGAGGTGCAGTGGGCATCTCTGGAGCCACAGAATGAATATGGGTGTCTTCCTGGGGCATCAGTTTCTCCATACAGATTTTGGTGAAAGCATATTATTTAGAAATCAAAACAAACACTTTTGGTGGAGAATGGAAAATTTTCCCCAAAATTGAAAGCTTAAAAAAAAAAAAAAAAAAAGAGGAACTTTATAGAAATCTGCCCCCGCTCCTTTTTTTTTTCCAGGCTAAGTCCCCAGGTACCCCTGAGAACACACTCACTTGCCTCTGTTGCTAGAGGTAATTCCATGGACAAGTAGAAGAAACACTAACTGAGCCATTGGTTTCCAACCATTTCACCCAGCAAAATGTTTATTATTTTTTTTCCTATGGATTTTTTAATAGCTTAATAAAACACTCTCTTTTGAAAGATTTTCTTTATCAACTACCAAATCAGCTGACTTATACAGTAATCATTTTTCTCCCTATTATTAATGACCTATATAACTGCCAAGAGTCACATCTGTTCAGTATGAGATAATCAACCTAGCAAAGTGGGTTAATATATTTTAAGCAGAAGCAATATGATGATTATATTAGACTGTTTCATTTTATCTTGAGTGATGGTGGGAAGTTTAGGCTTTTTGACACCTTGCACACTATTCTGAGAGTCCCCTTCCTATTTTTGCCACCCTAGAATGAGAACATTTTAACCCCCTTATTTTACTATTATTTTTTTTAACTCACCTGTTATAAAGATGAAGAAACTGAGACCCAAGTAGGGGAGATTATTTTCCAAGATTTTCTTAAAAACCTTAAAGAACCCAGAGAACTTCCTCTAAACCAAATGGAATGCAAATTAACCCCGTATTTATGTATTGCAATTTTCTAATTGCTATCGATTTAGCCCGAGGCTGGTGAGCTCATTTTGGGTGGCTGGTTGGACAGAGAAACTAGAAAGGCTATGTCTATCATATGACTGGTTCTCCTGCCCATCCACTTCTCTTTCTCTTGGTTCCCTTCCCCTTTTACTTCCACGCTCGAGATATTTTCCTCTTGAGTGCAGAATTTCCGATCTGTTTGCAAGGTCTGGTCTTTTCTCTCTTACTGCAGTTGGCTCCTTCTCCAGACAAGCAACTACCCCTCTGAGCAGCCATGGCCAGCACAATAGAGGGTCTGTGAGCGTGTGGTGAGCCGGCTGGCTGGGGCAAGACCACTCGGCTGCTCCTGAAATAGGCCCCATGCTATTGTGGTGTTTAATTATCAACAGCATTTCTACCACCCAGTGTCTGAGTAGGTATTTGTTCTAAGACCTGCCCAGCTAATTAACTACGAGGTGGGGGCGGGGGTGGGGCGGGAACTTGGTGTTCAAAGAATACAATTACGGTTACTGTTTAAATCCTGAGATAAATAATGATCGGACTGAATGCTTTTTCCTCACCCTCAGACTCTAACCTACGGAGCGCCTACTACATACTATTTCTTAATTTCGCCTTGCCCTGCAATTGGTGAGTCTGGGCCTGGTTGATAATTGCTTCGAGATTGAAAATGTAACGAGGGTAAAATGTAAACTAATTTTAATTCTTAACTGAAAGTTTTAGGGAATAATTCATTTGATTTGCTTGGAAAAAAACGAATACATTTGCCTATTACTAATGATAAGGCATTTTGCAACTCAGCAACAACTTTTTATTGTTACTAGCATTTTTCTTTTTTTTTTTTTTAATTTATTGATGAGAAAAGAAGGTAGAAGACAATCCTTTAGTCTCAATGTCTGAAGGAGCCTTAGAACCAGTCTTCGATGATTCTTCTCATAACACCCTTGGCCCTATACGATTTCCTCCAGGAGGGGAACTCGCTGCTCACCAAGGCGGCCCTATCCATTCTCACTTTCAGTTTTAATTTAAAAGAGTGTAATTTAATTTTAAAGAGTTTCCTGATCCTGAGCTGAAATCTGCTCTCCTCTTATTTCCAAACTGGAGGTAAAGTGGTAAAAGGGCTTTAGGTTATCGATCTAGATCAAGCACTGCCCGTTATGAATGTGTGATTCTCACCAGTTATGCTGCCATCTTGAACCCAATAGTCTCATCTGAAAAGTAGCACAGTAAAGCTGTCTCACAGCTGCGGTAGGTTTGTGATAATCTTTACACAAATGGCTCTCAACAGTGGGGTTTTGTATTATTGTTACACTCATTGGTCTGTGTTACAGGTTTTAGAGGCACACAAAAATAAATCAAATACTTGTTTTATAAAATAGCTCTATGTCCTTCCATTAAAACAAAAACAAAAACAAAAAAAGCCCTCTTGCCCCCACGTAAAAATCTTCTGTCCCAACTACCAGTCAGAAATATATTATATACTAAGTGGTGTCAGTTTCAACCCTATTATTTCAGAGAAGAAAAAAAGGTCACTTAGGTATAAACCATGAATTGTAAGCCAATGTCCTCTGGGCAACC